CCCTTTTTTGTAGCAGGAACTCCTTTGCATGTTAGGCCACACACCCCTACTGTAGCCAATCCAAATGAGTTTCTGCTGTTGGGTGTGGCCTATTATGCTAATGAGTTCCTGCTGGGTGTGGCCAACTCAGGAGCCAGCCGGAACTCCGTTCCTGTGCGTTCCTGCCCAAAAATAGCCCTGGATTTAGCTAACTCATTGGACTCTGCGTGTTTCCAATTCGGCCACGGGAGCACACGGGCACAGATCTGTGCATCGCTTCCAACTCTATGATTCCATGATTCTCTTCTATCCCTCGTGTGTGTTTTTTTAATAAATCTGCTGCGACAGGACAACCCCTTCACACATCCGCAAACGCGAGCGCCTTAAAGTCTTCCTGCTAAATTCACTGCTCCTTCTAACGCTCTCAAGCCATCACTGGGCGATTTGACTCCAAAAGGGAAACTGAGTTAAGGTCACTCCCCAGGCCGGATCTCTGCGAGCAAACCTAAGCCCGGAGAGATCTGCCCTGCCCTTTGAACGCTGTCCGGAAACGAGTCTCCCGTCGCCGCCGCTTACCACGTCCATGATCTGCATGAGGCTGAGCGTGAAGTGGACGGTCAGGGGCTGCGCGTCGTCGCTCACCGGCCTCTCCAAGGGGGTGTAGTCCTCCATCAGGCCCTTCAGCAGCTGCCGCTGGTAGACCCCTCCCTGGGAGCCTGGGAAGTCAGACATGCGCAGAGCCCACGGTTACGTTTCTGTCGCATCGATCGTGACATGACCCAATTTGCACTGCACTGTCCCCAGCTAGGGGGTTTCCTTGACCACCGGGTTAATTTTAGAAAGAGGAGAGAGGAAAATAAAGGGACGGGGCAAGGACAGAGAGAGAGACACACACAGGGTGGAACCAGATGACAGGGTTGCCACCAATGTTCCCTCTAAGCTGTGGAGTCTTGTGAGCAAAAATTATACTTTGTGAGCTACTGGCATTAAAGCTGTGAGCCAGCAATTTGGCTGCTGCATAAATTAGTTTGCTCTGGAGCCCCTCCTTCCTGAGCGAAGACAAAAATGTGTGAGCTGGAGGCTAAAAAACTGTGAGCTAGCTCACACTAACTCGGCTTGAGGGAACACTGGTTGCCACCCTCCAGGTCAAGCCCAGAGATCTCCCCCGGAGAAAATTGTTGCTTTGGAGGGCAGGCTCTACGGCATTACCCCCCACTGAAGAAGAAGAGTTGGGTTTATACCCTTCACTTGGCGTCTCAGGGAGGCTTACGGCTGCCTTCCCTTCCTCCCCCCCCCCCCCAAAAAAACACAGCAGTGCTCAGGGAACGGCTCCTGAGAGAACAGCTCCAAGAGAACTTGTGACTGACCCAAAGTCACCCAGCTGGCTGCATGTGGAGCAGCGGAGAATCAAACCTGGTTCTCCCAGATTAGAATCTGACACTCTTAGTAGAGGAGGAGGAGGCGGAGATTGGATTTATAGCCCACCGTTCACTACCTCAGAGCGGCTTACAATCTCCTTTCCCTTCCCCTCCCCACAACAGGAGAGGCCGGTGGGGCTGAGAGAGCTCTGAGAGAGCTGTGACTGGCTCAAAGTCACCCAGCCGGCTGCAAGTGGAGGAGTGGAGAATCAAACCCGGTTCTCCCAGATTAGAGACCTCCCGCTCTTAACCACCACACCAAACTGACTCTCACTGAGGTCCGTCCCTCCCCCAAACCCCGCCCGCCTCAGGCTCCGCCCCCAAATCTCCAGGAATCTCCCACCCAGGAGCTGGCAATTCTACCGGACAAGATGTTTCAGATTCCGCAATGGACTGTGCCACTTTCCTAGGACACGTCGCGGAGGGCCACCTTCCACCAGCTCAACTCCCAGCCTGTCTTCTGCAGATCTCAGGGGCAGAGCGTGTTTGCAGCCAAAAACAAACCCCAGGGTTGTCCTAAAACGTGTTGGCAGTTCTAGAGGAACGTCAGAGGCTACAGGGCATGACAAGAGAGGCCGTGCACCGCCAGGCATCTCCATGTTCACATGCGCAAGCGTTTGCTTCCATGCGCGCCGGAGACAGTCAGTATCCGGCCTCCCACTTCAGCCATCTGGCTGCTAGCGATGCTGAGCGTCTGCAGGCGGAACAGAAATCTTCTCGACTCCCAATCTCATCAATTTAAAAACAAGGATATCAAATTACCAGGTGCGGGAAGTGGACATCTGGGGCGATCCCTGGTAATAAAGGGAAGGCGTGGAAAGAGAACACACACACACACACCGAGTTGTGACTGTAATCCCACCCACACAGTCCTCTTGACTGAGCCAAAAATGTAACGCTCCCTCTAAGCTGTGGAGTCTTGTGAGCAGAAACTCTACTTTGTGAGCGACTGGCGTTAAAGTTGTGGGCGGGCGATTGGGCTGCTGCATCAATCGGTTTGCTCTGGAGCCCTCCTTCCTGAGCTAAGACAAGAATGTGGGAGCCGGGGACTGAAAAACTGTGAGCTAGCTCACACTAACTCTGCTTAGAGGGAACACTGGGCACGGAGAGACTCCAGAGGGGAGACAGTTGGCACTAGAGATGTGAAGGCCTGGGGAAAAACTGGAAAAATTTGGGGGGAAACCGTTCCCCCCCCCCCGTTTTTTCCCTCAAACCTTTTTTGTTTTTTTCCGAAAAATTGAAAAAAGAAAAGAAAAAAAAGATTGATTATGGAACATTTTATTTTAACATGATGAATAAAATATTTTAAGACAAGGTGTTCAAATATTTTCCAAATCATTCCTAAATAATATGTATGGTCTCAGATTGATCTAATTTCTGCATACTGAGGACAAGCAAGTCCTAGGTTACAAACTGAACTCTCCAATGCAAGAACAAGTTGCATTTCTTTTCTTAGGAGGTGCGATTGTCAGAAGAAAAGAAAAAGGCTTCAGTTTTGTTTTTGCATGTGGGTGGGTATTTTGTTTGTAATAATTGTTTGGATACACTATGTTTTTAATAGGCTAGTTGTGATAATTTCATGCCAAGTAAAAATGTCCATAGTCATATTTTATGTTCCTAAAGTAACAGAATGACTTTCAATCTGGAAAAGAAAAAAGAAGTGCTAATGTAGCATTTTTTTTTTAACTTTTCCGAAAATTTCCATTCCCCCCCCCCAAAAAAACCTGGGTTTTCCCCCGAGCTTCAAAATTTCCGGAAATTTTACATCTCTAGTTGGCACAAGAGGGAACCCCCTCCCCCGTCTCCCTAGCAAGGCTGTGCCAGCCAGAAATCCAACTGGTGCAGCTTTCCCCACCACGGCGATGGCAATGGTGGGGTGGGGTGTGACATGCAGGCCGAGAAAGATTTTGCTTAAACAAATTTGGGGGGGGGGGAATTAATAAAGTTTTGGGAGGACTGTGCCTATCCGGACCAAAAAGGAGTGTGAAAGAGGTTTGGGGAGGGGGAGTGGCAACATCTGAAAGTCACACGTATGCACAAAACAGCCTACCGCGGAACCCAAATGCACGCAGGTAGAAACCCTGACCTGCCCTCATACCTTTTACACTATTTCAGTGGGGCCAGAGAGAGAAACGTTGGTATTCTCCCACCTCTCCCTGCCTGCTTCCTGAAGTGGTACACTCCAGGAGCCAGTTTGGTGTGGTGGTTAAGTGTGTGGACTCTAATCTGAAAGAACCGGGTTTGATTCCCCACTCCTCCACTTGCACCTGCTGGATGACCTTGGGCAAGCCGTAGTTCTGATGAGAGCTGTTCTTGAAAAAGAGCTCCTCCTCCTCCTCCTCCTCCTCCTCCTCTTCTTCTTCTTCTTCTTCTTCTTCTTCTTCTTCTTCTTCTTCTTCTTCTTCTTCTTCTGGAAGGAACTCACCGCTTGACTCTGCTGTCTAGATCAGCAGTCAAGCGACAACCCCACCGTACCCTCGTCCTCAATTATTTTACGTTCACCTAGAGTATTTTTTAATTCCATCTTTTCTCCAAGGAGCTCGGGGCGGAGAACACGGTCCTCCCTTGTCCCTTTTTATCCCCACAACAACCCTGTGAGTAGGGCCAGGCTGACAGCAACTAGCCCAAGGGACATACACAGGAAGATTCACGGCAGGGTCGGGACCTGAACCTCAGTCTCCTGGATGATAGAGCACGCTGATTTTACCTGGTCCTCTCTGCTTCGACCTCTCCTGAAAATTTAGTCCCCTACCTGTACAGGCTAAACTACCATACCCACAGAGGGACAGAGTGTCCAATATTATTCCCCAGGTGTTTATTTAAAAATAGTTTTCTAGTTCTCATTGTGTGTGTGTGGAAGGAATTAAAACACACTTAAGGACATTAGAAGAACCCTGCTGGATCAGGCCAGTGGTCCCTCCAGTCCAGCATCCTGTCTCACACAGTGGCCTCAACCAGTTCCTCTGGAGGGCCAACAACAGGGCAGAGAGGCCGAGGCCTTCCCCTGAGAACACCAGAAGAGCCCTCCTGGATCAGACCAGTGAGGGTCCATCTAGTCCAGCATCCCGTCTCACACAGGGGTCAACCACTTCCTCCGGAGGGCCAACAACAGGGCAGAGAGGCCAAGGCCTTCCACTGAGAAGAACCTAAGAAGAGCCCTGCTGGGTCAGACCTGTGAGGGTCCATCTAGTCCAGCTTCCTGTCTCACACAGTGGCCAACCAGTTCCACTGGAGGGTCAACAACAGGGCAGAGAGGCTGAGGCCTTCCCCTGAGAACATCAGAAGAGTCCTGCTGGATCAGACCAGTGAGGGTCCATCTAGTCCAGCCTCCTGTCTCACACAGTGGCCAACCAGTTCCTCCGGACGGTCCACAAGAGGACATAGAGGCCAAGGCACTTCATAAGAACATCAGAAGAGTCCTGCTGGATCAGACCAGTGAGGATCCATCCAGTCCAGCCTCCTGTTTCACGCAGTGGTCAACCAGTTCCTCTGGAGGGTCAACAACAGGGCAGAGAGGCCTTCCCCTGAGAAGAACATCAGAAGAGTCCTGCTGGATCAGACCAGTGAGGGTCCATCTAGTCCAGCCTCCTGTCTCACACGGTGGCCAAGCAGTTCCTCCGGACGGTCCACAAGAGGACATAGAGGCCAAGGCCCTTCATAAGAACATCAGAAGAGTCCTGCTGGATCAGACCAGTGAGGATCCATCCAGTCCAGCCTCCTGTTTCACGCAGTGGTCAACCAGTTCCTCCAAAGGGCCAACAACAAGGCAGAGAGGTCAAGGTCTTCCCCTGATAAGAACATTAGAAGAGCCCTGCTGGATCAGACCAGTGGTCCATCCTGTCTCACACATTGGCCAACTGGTTCCCCTACAGGTCCAACAACAGGGCAGAGAGGCTGAGGTCTTCCCCCTGACGCTGTCTCCCAGCGCTGGGATTCAAAGGCTGACTGCCTCTGAATGCGGAGGTTCCACTTGCCACTGCCACATGCATACCAATACAGAAAAGCACACACATGAGTAAAAGTAGAGATTTGCCAAGTAACGAGGAACATGCATACTGGATGGGGGATACACCTCTGAACAGCAGTGTGTGTGAACAAGACCCTTGGGGTAAGGATGGACCGAAAGTTAAATATGAGCAGCCGGTGTGATGCGGCGACAAAAAAGGCTAATGCAATCTTGGGCTGTATCAACAGAGGCATAACATCCAAATCACAAGATGCCAAGTCCTGCTGTACACCGCATGGGTCAGGCTGCGCCTGAACTCTTGAGTGCTGTTCTGGAGGTCTCCCTTTAACAA